GCACGCACGCATGCATGCACGCACACACACACACAAACTTCAGAGCAAGTGAAAAAAGTTCTACAGAGCACAGCTCAGTGAGGAACCGGAAGGAGGACATGGATCATGCATTCTTCCAGTAAGGATAGAGAAGAGGGAAAGAGCCTGCATGTGATTTGGAAGGTGACTGTCCTCATCATGACGAGTTCATGTCACTCAGTTATGTGCGGCACGTGGATGAATGAATCACGCGGGGGGGTCGGGGGTTGGGGTGGCTGTGCTACGCTGAAACATTCCTCGACCCAAAACAGTGGGGAGCAGAAGAAAACGACAACAATCCCCAGCAGCACCCCTGTCACTGTCTTCCCCTCCGTTTGCAGTAATGACGTGCAACATAAATAGCAGCGGTCCACCAGAGTAGTGTTGAGTTAAAGCAGCAGGTGGCATGATATGTAATAACAACAAAGTCAGATGAGCAGGCACAGTCGTCCATAGGCAGCCGTGGTTGTTTGTAGTTTATACAAAACTCAGGACTCGGTGTAACCTTGAGCTTAGAGCAGGAAAAAAAATCGTCTTAATGTTCCTACCTCTTTTGGCCTTTCTTCTCTGTTCGTTTTGCCATCTTGTACACATGCATGACCTCTGCCACTGTGGCTCCAAGGCAAAGTTAAAACAACAGCGGTGTCTAATAGCAGTGTACGATTTTATGCTGTGGTGGCACGCTGTGCGTTTGTTCCCTTTTACAAGCGTACATCAAAGTTGTAAACAGTGGACATACCCTTTGAAGTTCAGTACTTAGCAGGGGGGGCTTTCATAAAGTAGATTTTCATATTGCTGGCAAGCATTGTTGAATGCATACCTTAGATTCCTTCAGTTTAATCTCTTATGTAATAGATATTCTCCTTTTCCATCGCCTGCAGCTCCCTTCTGCATCTCTACCATGTTATCATAGCAAATACACACACTTAGATCAAAATATATAAACATGTGGGGGACTGGAGGAATGAAACATTTCAGGCTATTAAAAGAACTCTCAATAAACCTATAGCAAGAACATTATCCCAACAGTCAGGATTTCCTTAAATATATTTTAGTGTATTGGCGGGGGTGGGGGGGGGGTGTACTTTGGTCCACTATGAAAAGATGAGATTTTAAATTTCTATTTTGCAAGCTGAACAAGAGAAATATGAGCACTCTATCCTGTCTGTAAAAGCCATGTGTGCTCTATAAAACCTCCTCGTGGAAGAAAGCACATTTTTCATGTTGCGGCTGGCTTTTGTGCTCACATACTGTACTGCTCTCTCCATTAATCTGCACAGCAGTTTCTCTGATTAAAACATGGGGGTCCAGGGTCAGCTGTAGACTTTTATATTATTGAAAAACTGTTTCTCTCTCTGTCTATTAAAAAACCTGATATTATTCGATTCTTTCCTTTCTTTATAATTGTATCTCATACTTTTGTGAGATATCACATATCTGACTTTCCCATTGTTTTTACTGTGGCGTCTACAGGACAAATACTGAATAATGCAGACTTTTTTCCGTTCCTCTCCCAAGACATTGTTGTTTCAGGTGAGGCACGTAACTGTATCAATTACCATCTATTTGTCTAAAGCATAAATTTTTTCAAAAAAGGCCCAAAGTGGTGCCTGCACTGTCTTAGCTGAGATAATCAGAGCGGCAGCTTACTATTAGCTCCCACATCCCTAAGTCTGATATCAATAGCAACAAAAGAATTTCCTCTTTGTTGTCATTTTTTAAAATCATGACAGGCCGTCTTTGCTCTATTGTCTTGGACGCAACTGTTTCCGATGCATTTCCATCATTCATTGATTCCAAATAAAAAAAAAAGCCTGATGACTGACTTAAGAGGAAACTATCATGTGCGGTGTGATTCATTCCCCTACTTAGGCGTAATGGCACTTACTTGCAGGCCGGGTGATCACATGCACTATGCTATTATGTCACACCATATGTGTTCCTAGTGGATGCCTATCGCTTAGACCAGCATACTCACACTTGACTTTTCAATGGGTAAGCTAAAATAAGTTCAGCTGCTCACAGACTAAATGAGTCGCACGGGACAGTCTTTAATTCTGAATCTGACCCGTTTGCTTATATGCAGAAAGAGACTGCAGCTGAATCAATGTGGCATCATGCTGGCTACCCTGCCGGACTTTTTTCACATCTTAATCAATATCCAGTGACACGAGTGCAGGGGCAGCGGAGTCCTTATTAAGTTAAGAATGTGTGAATGGGTGTTATTTGCACTGTGTGTGGATTTGTGTTTATCGCAATACCGACGAGCGCTAGAAGGTAGGAAGAGTTGGAGGAAATGTCTGACAGAAGAGCTGGGATTATTGATCTGGGCACTACTCATCGAGATGGAGAGGGCAGGAAGATGGACAGGTGGGGAGATGGGTTTAATGAAAGAGAAAGGCATGTATCATTTTAGCTCTGATACCAGCGGTAGTCTGCACAGCGCATTAGCAGATTGGCTTCCAGAGGGCCATTAGTGGGGCCTGCTTCCCAGCAAAGACTGTTGACAAACCATTTGAAAACAGATGGTATGCTTTGTCTTATATTGTCCACGGTGAGCTGAATTCACAGCCCAGACGGCATAAAAGCAGGTAACCTAATTATTTATCAAATGATTTATCTGAACAGAGAGTTTGAGTTTGGGGAAATATTTTGTAATATGTAAAGGAGAGGTGGAATGGACAAGTGGACAAGCACTGACAAGGCCCTGACTGCAAACGTCTGTTCACGCCTTTTTGAGCGAACTTTCAAATCTTGCAATCAGAGGAAGGAATTCACATGCTGTAAAGACCACTGATGATGGAACCATCAATGTTCTCCTCACACACACACACACACACACACACACACACACACACACACACACACACACACTGATAATGTTAGGAATTACACCCATGCAATTTGAGCTAACACGTCTTATCTTTTCTGTGGCACAGCCTCCCACACATCTAATGCTATTTGGGATGCACCCTCAAGTAAATCTAGCACACATACGTGCAGACTGTCAGACAGTAACCAAACAAAGATAAGGATGGAGCAGAGTTAAGATCACACTTAGAGGCAGATACTGTAATAGGCAGACCATATGGGAAAGAGTACTTTTTATACACATTTATATGTCTCAGTTATTCAGTGGTTTCTTTTTCCACATTGTTCCCGGACTCGTTCCCGGTTCCCACTCCGGGTCGGGGACGAGTTCCTGCCCCAAGTGGAGGAGTTCAAGTATCTCGGGGTCTTGTTGGCGAGTGATGGGAGAAGGGAGCCGGAGATCGACAGACGGATTGGGGCTGCAGCTGCAGTAATGCGGACGCTGCACCGGTCCGTCGTGGTGAAGAGGGAGCTGAGTGTAAAAGCGAAGCTCTCAATTTACCGGTCGATCTACGTCCCTACCCTCACCTATGGCCACGAGCTGTGGGTAGTGACCGAAAGAACGAGATCGCGGATACAAGCGGCAGAAATGAGCTTCCTCCGAAGGGTGGCTGGCCTCTCCCTTAGAGATAGGGTGAGAAGTTCGGCCATCCGGGAGGGGCTCAGAGTAGAGCAGCTGCTGCTCCACATCGAAAGAGCTGAGGTGGTTCGGGCATCTGGCAAGGATGCCTCCTGGGCGCCTCCTGGGTGAGGTGTTCCGGACATGTCCCACCGGGAGGAGGCCCCGGGGCAGACCCAGGACACGCTGGGGAGATTATATCTCTTGGCTGGCCTGGGAACGCCTTGGTGTTCTCCCGGATAAGCTGGAGGAGGTGGCTGGGGAGAGGGAGGTCTGGGCCTCTCTGCTTAGGCTGCTGCCCCCGCGACCCGGCCTCGGATAAAGCGGAAGAAGATGGATGGATGGATGGTTTCTTTTTCATTAACATATTCCTCACCTGCTTTGTTCCACAACTGAGGCAACAAGCAGCTTTACCTGTGTGTGAGAGGGTAAAGGTCACATGGCAGCAGTCAGGGTAGGGCAACAACAACAGCAATAATAAAACTGTTTCCATCTATGGATCTGTCGGTGTCTCCATAAGTATGTTTGCCTTTCTGCTACTGTCACTTATTTCTTTGTGTTCCTTTTCTTTAATGATCCTCCAAAGAAGGAAAAGGGTCGGCGTTGTCTTGCATATGCATCTATATGTGTTCCCTTTGCATCTGAGAGCGTGTCTATTTGTGAGTGTTGGGGGCTGGTGTTGACTCATGCATGCAGTGTGTTAGGACAAGAATCCCCCACAGCAATGACACATACGCTCACACACACAGACACACACATATATTTACATGGTTGAACGGCAAAGACAGGGCGAACGAAACCAAAGACAATCATTAAAAAAACAAAAAAAACCACCCCAAAACATACACTGATATATGTGTAAGTTTAAATTAGCTTCAAATTGAAAAAATGATTAGCATCAAAGGCCTTTGGGGCAACTTGCATCGTCTGTATCGCTGCCACGGTTCTGCATTCAGCCGTAGTAAACAGTTGCTGCGCATTCAAGCCATCGAGAAAATAAGAAGCAAAAACTCACAATAATCTCACATGACAGGCAGCGATTAAAATTTAGCTGCTCCACAATGTTCGGCATCAACACGCA